GCTTTTGGGCAAAAAACTTGTTGAAATGCCTAACCTTCAAACCATTTTGAAAATTCTCTCACAAGCATCTCTTGGTTTAGACATATTACCTTGATAGTCACCTCATTGATCTAGATGAGGTACTCTCTTAGTGACTTAAAACCCCCTCGCGAACATTTAATAGGTTGGTCATTGAAATTTTTCAGTGTCTACTCGCCAAAAATTGATGGACCCGTGTCTTGCAAGGTATTGATAACTGGCCAGTGAAAAATGAGGGAGGTTCATGAACCTCCTGAAGGCTTCCTCCTTGAAGGTGATGGACAATAGCTTGCATTTAAAGGAATCAGAGGCACATATTATCGCTGTCTGAGTATTAATGGCAATAATGTGTTCCATAGGGGTCGTTTTCCCCATCAAACTTCACTAGTTACGGTGGTTTGAGATTTTATCGTACTAGAGCGCCCCAAATCTCATCAAAGATTGTCTGATGGTTCAAGACCTTATCTTTGACCGAGTTGTCTTTGTGGTGCCGCTCCTGAAGGGTCATAACGTTCTTCTACAAAGCTTTATTAGAACAACACAACTCTTCCATAACAACACACATCTTTGTTAAGGCCTCGTTGTCACTGCTGTTAGTGTTGTTGGCTATTATGGTGCCTTATCGTTCACCATGTTGATGGAAATGATTGAGGTGAGTGAAAGTTGGATGTGAGTGTGTCCTATATTAGTTTTTCAATGGTCCCACGATGGACACCAATCGTACTTACAAAAAATGCAATGAAGATAATCCTACTACATAAGAAGATATAAGTCTTTTAAATATGTGAACAATAAATCATCTCTCATAACTCTAAGGGCTTAAATATTTATATGCCTATCTCGTAAGCCAAAGTGTTGGGTGAGGAATTAACTTCCTTCCAACTATTTGACTAGAGCATAGAGATAAATATGATTATGCTTTCTTTTAGTATGAATATCGAAACATATTCTTTCTTGGGAGAGTTTCCAAGACATAACAATTTAGTTACTCATAATGGATAAAAAACATGCCAAACGAATTGTCTCATAGGCGTGATGGGTCGAATAGGGCGATCTATAATCCATCATGTTACACCCTTATGAAAAATTCAGATTTACTTTGTGATGTTTCTTGAGCCAACTAAGTAATGATCCTTCCTCTTATAAGGCCCAATCAAAATTATCACAATCTAATCATTTGTGATCCTTTTTATTGAATAATGAAAATAAATTAAATTTCATATAATGAGAGTATAATTTATAAAAATATACATCTAATCAAATTATACTAGTGTTATTTTTTATAAATTAATTCATAAACTATCTTTACAAATATTTACAGTATGATTTGATTTAATATATACGTCAAAATATTTAGACAATCGATGCATACACTAAAATTTAATAAAAAAATAGTTTTAAAAAGGCACATAACACTTTTTTCTTCAAATTATGTATATTTTTTTTTAGGAAATTTCTTAACTCGATGTGTTTGAAAAGAACCCTATAAAAATTTAAAAATATTTTTCGATTTTCAAAAATATATTTTTAAACGCATCATTTTACAATTAAATTTATTTCGGAAATGCCTTTTCGATTTCTAATGAACTAAATATTGTTAGTTTATCTATCTATATATATATATATATATATATATATAATTGTATTGTATAATATAAAATAAACATCACGTTCTTTCTATCAATTACATCTTTATTGAAATGAGATTTTTGTAAAATAACAATATTCAATTTGCTAAGAATCAAAAATATATTTTTGAAAATGTATTTCTCAAATAAATTTTATCAAAAAACTGAAGTATAATTTGAAAATGAATAAAATACATATGTGTGGAGTACTTCCGAAAATATATTTTTGAAATTTGAAAGAATTATCAAAAATTTACTCAGCACGGTAAAAGGTTACAGGATGCGTTAAAATTTATTTATTTATTTTTTAATTGAGGAAGGGCGTATGTGAAGGTTGGGTTTTCATGTTTTGGGCTTAGGCTAATTAAGTCCATCTGACCGGGTAGACATATAAGAAACAGGTTAGGGTTTCTCATTCTCTACCAAAAATCTGAGCCAGAAGGTTTTCGACTCCGCGCGGCTTCTCCAACAACCTCCTCCGCAATTCAATCATGGCTGAACAAGTAAGTCCTCGTTACTTCGTTTTTCGTGTTTCCATTCAGCTATATGTCGATTTTCCATTGATATATATTTTGTGTGTTACAGACTGAGAAAGCTTATCTGAAGCAACCCAAGGTGTTTTTATGGTATATTCAATACTTCAAATCTTAATGTGTGTTTTGCTTTTAGTTGTGGTGATTGTTGATCCATGTTTGGTTGTTGTTTTTGATCAATTTCGTAGCTCAAAGAAATCTGGCAAGGGTAAGAGGCCCGGTAAAGGTGGAAATCGCTTCTGGAAATCCGTTGGTCTTGGATTCAAGACCCCCAAAGAAGCCATTGAAGGTTCCCCTCTCTCTCTCTCTTTGTGTTTGTAAATATAGTTTTTACTTTTATGTAATGATATGAATCTGTCACATGGGTTTTGTCAATAGTTTAATTTTGAGGCGTTTTGAAAGTTAGGTTATATACTCGAATCCCTATATGGAGTTGCTGCGGGAGTGTGTAGTTTTGAATCTAAAAATGTAGCCTTTTGAAGGAAATACTGATGCACACATCTGACACTGAATTAATGCAAATCAAAATTAGAGAAGAATAGAAATAATGCAAGAGAATATTACTGGAGTTGTCTGATTTGAATGGTGGATGCTTAATTACAACTCTATATTAATCTGTTTTGATACAGGCAAGGTTCGTGAAACTTTTTTGTTGTGTTTGTATTGGATTCCTATTGGACTTATGGGGTCTCTATGACGTGTTTAGAGATGAACAATACTCGTTTTAGTTATTTGCTGTTATTTTTTAATCTAAGTCTGTATATAAGTTTTTCTATTATCAGTATTGATCTATATATGTAAATTGGTCTATATACGTGGGGGCAAATGTAAATGCTTCTATCTTGCTTCATGCAACTGTTATTTGGTAATACTTGTAAATTGCAAACTCTGGTTACTTTAAGTCTTAATACTATTAGCTAGAGGCAGAGCATTCTCAATATCTTTTTTTAAGTTTGTGGAGGCCTATTTTATTTCTGCTTCTAATGTTAAAATGACCTTTTGTTTTCAAATACAGGAGCCTACATTGACAAGAAGTGTCCATTCACTGGCAATGTTTCCATCCGTGGTCGTATCATAGCTGGAACTTGTCATAGTGCTAAAATGAATCGGACTATTATTGTCAGGAGGAATTATCTTCACTTCATTAAGAAGTATCAGAGGTATTCTCGTTTAATACTATACTCCATTTTTTTAATTTGCATGCTTGGATAAACATAATTTGTGATTCCCTTTTTCCTTACCTACTCTATTTAGGTATGAGAAGAGACATTCAAACATTCCAGCTCATGTGTCACCTGCTTTCCGTGTTAAGGAAGGTGATCATGTCATTATTGGTCAATGCAGGTGAAACTCTAGCCGATTTCTATAATTTCTGTTTTAACCCAAAGATACTTTTATTGTATATTGTTTACTGGGTATCATTATATATGTCTGACTAAGATGCCTTTACTTGTGCCAATTCTATAGGCCACTCTCCAAGACAGTGAGGTTCAATGTGTTGAAAGTGATCCCAGCTGGATCATCCAGTGGTGCAAAGAAGGCATTTTCTGGCGTATGAGATTTGGTTGGTCCTCGTAGTATAGAGATCTTATCATCTATGTTTAAAGTATTTCCGATTTCTGTATGGTGAAGTTCTTAACAATTTTGATAATTTTGGTTTGCTTTGAAGTTCTGTACTCTGATTTGATAAGATGGTTTAATTATGTTTATTTTTCCAGACATGTTATTATGGTTATTCAATCCTAGTTGCAATTATTTTGAATTTTTGCTTCTGAAAGAAAATTTCCCCTCTGGAAAAAAACGTTTACTATTTTAAACAAGTAAATGTGATCCAAGATAGAACATCAGTTTTCAGAATCACTATGTCTGAGTGGCGTTGCGCCTACACATGTACCTATTTACCATTTTTTATCCTTTTGAAAGAGTCCATGCAGTAGTGTTAGCTTTTTGGTCTACGAATTACTTAAGATTAGAAGTTAAAATGTATCATGTGTCTTATCTCAACCAGTCCACATGGTGGGGATTTACTTGTTCTTGTAGAACACGGCGAGATTTTTTATGCCTCAGCAAAGATTATGTTTGGATCGTACATGATCTTGTAGTTCTTGGTGAGATTATTAGTTTGTGCAATGGTCGCGTCCATATGATCAAATTACCTCTAAAATGGTCAGTCTTGGGCGAATTCTTTTAATTGTTTGGAGGATTAATAGGATGGTGTAGATGAATCCCTTGTTACGCGTATATTTGCTGAAGTAAAAAAAAAGTTACTATTGGGCTTGTATCTTGTTCTACTTTAGACAATTTTTTTTTTATGGGAAGCATGGGCTTTTTCAGTACAAACACGCTTAACAAACCTAATAGGAACATCAATTAAAGAGGACATGTGACAAATACAATCCTCTACTTTAAAAGCATCCAGCCCCCATTGCACCTCTAAAGCCTCAACAAACAGAGGCTCGTAGGCACTGAAACAAAAGCGACACACAGATGTTGTGACACCTTCATCGAAGCAACCAGCATCCACAAAAACCAAGAACACAGTACCAATGGGAGGGGCCAACTCAAGATAAGAAGTCTTAGCATCCAAACCAGAGCATTCCTAGCATGCCAAATCTTCCATAAGGACACAAACTAGAATTGCGCCCCTATCATCCTTGCATTTAAACCAGTTTAGGAGCCATCCCTACAAGTCAATATCATGAGGAATGCATAAGTTCAGGGGTGATGCAAACCACAACAGCTTCACTTGCTGGTATCTAAGGAACAAATGGTCCTCAGGCTCAGAGAAACACAGAGGGCAAACGGGGTCAATAGATATACTTCACTTTTTCAGGTTAGTTCTATCAGGGAGAATCCCTTTCATGAGCCTCCAAAGGAAACTCCTCCTAGCATTAGGAATTCTAACTTTCCAAATCCCCTTCCATAACAGGTCGTTATTAATCACAGAAGAGCTAGCAAAATGATTTCTTTTATCAGCACCAATACAATGATAAGTGGATTTAATAAAATATTCGTCGTTTTTCTCATGTGTTCCAAACCAGCTTGTCCTCCGGAAGCCTTCTAGCAATTGGAATGTTGCGAATCTGCTGAGCGTCGAAACCAGAAAAACAAGCCTTAAGAAAACTTCCATTCCAGTCCTTTAGATCATCATCAATGCTATCTTCCACAAGGGCTTCTTCTCCCAAAATATTATTCACCCTCGAGGCGCAGAAATCTTGGAGAAGACGATACCCATTTGTCCTTTCATATTCTCACCTTCTGACCGTTTCCAATCTTCTCCTTCCAGCCCTTAAGCTTCTTCCACAACCTCTCAACCAGAAAAGAAAAAATCTCCTTTTTGGATCTCCCAAAGACAACTGAGAGACCCAAATACCTAAAGTTATTTGCAACCCTTTTAATTTTCATCTTATCATAAACTAGAATGCTACTGCTCTCCATCATATTCCGGCTGAAAGTCACCTCCGATTTATCAAAACTAACCATCTGCCCCGAGCCTTCTTGGTACTTATGGAGGATATTCATAATCACCTCAACCTCCTTTTGGTTTGCCCTAGCGAAAAGAACACTATCATCCGCAAAAAAATATGTGCGAAATGGTCAGAGCACCTCACACAACTTTTAGACCATGAATGTTGTTGAGAACAACTTCCTGCTTCAGCAGCCCCGAGAGAACGTTCGCACATAAGATGAATAGGTAAGGGGACAAAGGGTCCCCTTGACGCAATCCTCTGCCTGGAGAGAACATCCTGGATGGTTGTCCATTAACAAGGATCTGGTAGGATACAATAGAGACACACCTCATGATAACAACCATAAAACTTTTAGGGAAGCCCATGGAGGATATCATAAGCCTTTGACATGTCAAGTTTAATTGCCATGATGCCTCTTCTCCCACTAATTTTTTTCTTGAGCCAGTGGAAACATTCCATAGTGATAAACCCATTATCCATTCCCAAACGCCCTTGGACAAACGCGCTTTACTCTTCATCCACCAAAAACGGAAGCAACGACTTCGGCCTATTAACGAGACATTTAGTAACGATCTTCATAACAACATTGCAGAGACTTATGGGTCTGAACTCTATGGGATTGCGAGGGGTTTTACACTTTAGTATAAGATAGATGAAAATTTTGTTCAGGCTCTCAGAGCTTTTACCATTGTTCAAAATATCCAGGACCAAAGACTCCACTTCTTTCCCCCCAATATGCCAATACTTCTGATAAAAGAAAGTCAAAATGCTATTCAGACTAGGGGCTTTTAGAGGTTGCATCTGCTTTAACGCTTCCTTGATATCACCAACCCAAGCTTCCTGCTGCACCACACACTATTCTTCTCCATTACCCTATTTTTGACCACCTCACTAAGAGCCTCAACACCACCTGAACCAGCTGAAGAAAAAATATCCCCAAAGTAAGATATAAGGATTCTTTCGATATTCTCATCCTTTTTCCACCACACACCACTTGCATCTTAGATTTTGGAGATAAAGTTTGATTTCTTCCTTTGGGACGCCTTGCCATGGAAGAACTTATTATTCTTATCACCATTATTCAACCAAAATGCTCTGCTAGATTACCTCCAAATGATTTCCTTCGCAGCAAGAAGTTCATTCAGTTTCTTATTAAGATTCTGAACATTCGCAATATCCGCAGCCGAAGAGGCTCTCAAGTCCAAGTTTTTAATTTCCTCTTCAAGCTTGACAGTCTCCTTCCTAACATTATTTCTGTTATATTTCTCGAACAACCCATTAAGGGAAGACAATCCCTCCAACTTCCCTTCAACACTATCATTAGCAGTCCACGCCCTACGAATTGCCTCTTCACATCTCACATCCTTCGTCCATACTTCTTCGAATCTGAGCACAAAGGTTTTCTTCCTCCTCTTCAGCCGCCCCTTAGCCTCCATTTCTATTGCTAGAACTGCATGGTCAGAGGTTCTCCGGGGTAAATGTCTAACCCTCATTGGGGAAAACCTATTGAGGAATAATGAATTAGCACATCCTCTATCTATTCTGCACTGATTATTCTCATTGTCTTCTCTTCCATTTGCCCAAGTAACGAGATATCCCTCAAAACCAATGTCAATCAGCTCACAATCTTCAATTGCCTTCTCCCCCAAGATAACTGGTATTCAATTATAGGAATTCCACCGCTTTTATCAGTCGTGCTCACCATGTTATTGAAGTCACCAAAACAAAGCCACATTTCTTTTGACGGTTTTATCCTCCGGATTAAGTCCCAAATATCCTTCTTATGCTCATTCAGGAACCCGTAAACACCACTAATGTATCTCCACTGACATCATTAACAAAGGAAGCCTCAATATGATTTTCGGAAAAAGAGTTAACAAAAAGGTTCAAGCTTTCCTTCCAAAGAAGAGCAATGCCTCCAGCTTTGTTCCTCCTCTCCCCCGTGCAGCTGACCCCCAAGTAACTATCAACACCACACCACAACCTAATTCTCTCCATTTCCACCTTAGTAAGCCTAGTCTCCGAAAGGAACACCACCATGGTATTTTCCAGATTTGTGAGCCTTGACAATGATTGAACTCTACAGGGATTCCTTAACCCCATATAGTTCCAACTTAATATTTTCATCGGGCAATCCAACACCACCTCTGGTTCATTTTCACAATTAATCTTCTCCATGTCTTGGCCCTTTAACTTCTTCTTCCCTTTCCCTCCTATTTCTCTGGTGCCATCAATTATCATGACATCTACAAGGTGTCTCTTTCCAATCTCCACTTCTAACTTCTTGTTTACCCCACTCATCTCCTTCCTTGGTGCTTGTTTTTTAGTCCACTTCTTCCAATTAACTATTGCGCCCTTTGATGTTGCATCTAATTTCTCCACTCCTTTGGATAGTTCAACAGCCCCTAGAGATTCCGCCACGGCTTCAATCTCCAAATTATTTTCTGCTAGCATTTCATTTGGAATTTTTGTTGCACTTCGTGCTTACTGGTCCCTCTGGCTTCCTTATTTTTCTCAACTTCCCCTTCACCCTCATCTTTCTCTTCTGCCTTTGATCCACACCTACTCTAGTCATATGAAATGCTGAAGAGACTCTTGTTGCATGATCTTGAGTTGGAATCTTTCTTCTGTTGAATTTTTGTGACCTTAGGTAGCAGAGACGACGGAGCCAAGCACCATACGACAGGTCCCGTTCATCAAGTTCCTCAAATCCCTCCTTGCTTAACTCCCCCACCGCTTCACAATCTTTTAGCTGGTAGCCCATTCATCCACAAATAAAACACAATGTCAGCAACCGTTCATATTTGAAGTGAACCCTAAGGTTTTTCTCCTTGAAGCGTACCACTGTTCCTCTCTTCAACGGATGGTTCAGATCAATTGTTGCTTTGATTCTCAGAAACCTCTTGTTTCTATGGGTTTCCTTCTGATCCATCTCTTCAAATTCCTCCAGGACCCCCCTAACTCCTTCGCCATAGCCTCCTAGCGCAGCATGAGCGGAAAATCATAGACCCTACCCAGGACACACCAAAGTGCATGTTCAGGTCAGATGGTTCTTCTTCTCCTATTACACGATTCATAATCAACAAATTTTTGTCAAAACTCTACGGTCCATTTCCAAATCTCTCTTCGTTGCGAACCTAAATTAGACAATTTCTTAATGTACTCTATATAGTACAAAAGAACCTGATGAAAAATAAAAAAATGTATCTCTGTTTCAGAAAGATATTTTTGGATGCACCCTTTGCATTACACACAAACGAGTAATATGGTTTAATCATATAGTCAAATAATGATCTTTTGGATATACATCTCTGAAAATTTGATAAAATAAATTGTAAATTAACCATTAGAGAGAGATATCTGAAGATGTACCCCCGCTATATTGAAGTGGAGATACATCTCGGAAAATGATAAAGTAAATTACGAATTAACCATTACAAGGAGATATTTAGAGATGTACCTCTGGTATATTGAAGCAATAAATAGCTAATTTTAAATAACTATTTTATTTTAATTTTAAACATGAAAGTCTTTGAAAAAATGATTTTATAGAATAGTTTACATGTAAATATAACTAGGAAATCAAACATTTTTGGTTTTGAATTTTGAATTTAAAGTAAATGGGTCTATTTTCTCATGATGGATGCACGTATGGATATAGGGCTCACGCACATGCAGAGGCAAGATTACCTACTTGCATTGTTACCTCCTTTGTAAGTGTTTACTTCTCAGATGGGGGTATTGGCAATTGTGCTTCTAATGTGAGAAAAAGATACGATGTGATATCTAAAACATACCACTTCATGTAATTCACTTTATTCTCCCAATTGTTCAGGATACGAGTGCCCCATTCCTCTATAGGCAATACATATTCTAAGTGCTTGACATACCTATCATCAACACAATTTGATTCATCGTAAGTCAAATAGAGATGCTTGGATGTTTAAGAATACCTTTTTGTTAGAATAAAAATGCGAATACAAATCAGAGTAGAGACATATACAAAAAATTTATTTACGCAGTACAATGAAATTATCTATGTATGTAACTATAGTTCCATTTATTTATGTCTTGTGAATTTACATACATATTAAGATTACAATGTTATAAGCCATATATATTTCAAGGTTTTAGTTTATATCAAACTCGAATTCTTAGTTTTCCTCAACAAACAATTATCTCTACTCATAATCATCTCAACAATATGAGTTATTCTCTCAACAACCTATAATCATCTCAACAATGTGAGTTATACTCTTCACAATCCATAATTATTCAACAATCCATAATTATCTCAACAATATGATCCATATTCAACAATCTCCACCTTGGTGAATATCAAACTCTTATGAAGACTTCTTGTATAACGATTCATCCTGAAAACTGGGGAGGTATGCCTCCTGATTAACACTGAGAAACATGTAACAAGTCTAAGCAAGATTTGAACTTGTCACTGAAGACCGACTTGATCAACATATCTGTTGCGTTCTCTGAAGTGTGAATATTTTGAAGTAATATTTGTCCAGACGCCAACAATTCCCTGATCTTGTGGAACCTGATACCAATATGCTTGGTCTTAACATGATACACCCGATTGTTTGCCAAATAGATAACACTCTGACTATCACAATGCAACTGAACTCCACCTTGCTCAACACCCAACTATTTCGCTAACTGTTGTACCCCAAAATTTACCCTCCCATATTCCTCAAGATATGTCAAGAATGATCTTTAAATGGTTCAAAATGGCTTAAAGGATTGTCCAGTCACATCATCTCCTAAGACAACTGAAATTAGGGTTTTGGTTCTTTCAAGGAATTTGGGGTTCTCAATAGTTCAATCAAGTCTCATAGGCCTATATACATTCTCAAGCACCTACATGCCAAGTTTCAAGACTCACAGTGCCAATTTGCATAGTCAAAAGCTCCATTTGATCCACAGTCAATTGCAAGGGCAAAATGGTCATTTTGCAGTCAAAAGTCAAAATTCTTGGTCAACATCTTATTTTGAGCTCACAGTCATCATTTGATCAAGTTTTGATCATGATTCCACAAGAATAGCTCAAAAATCATCAATATGCAAAAAGTTACTATTTTTGGACAGTAGGAAAGTCAACTGTACTTTGACTAGGGCATAACTTTTTCATGGTTTGTCAGAAAAATCCCATCCAAAGCTCATTTTGAAGAGGATGCAATTTCCTACAATACATCTTCACATTCCAAGATCAAGAAATGCACTCACAAGAAGTTACCAATTTTTACATTATAGGTCAATTTCAAAAGTCCACAAAAGTACACATTGAGTCAAAGGCCATAACTTGAGATTGGTAATCCAAATGATATGGGACCAAAGGAATTGGTTAGAGGACTTCAAGGGCTTTCCAAAATGTCCAAGAACATGGTCATATGATCAAAATTGAGCAAGTTGTGCATTGGAGAAGTTGGGAAATTTTCATGAATTTGCAAAAGTCAACTTTGCTCAAAACACCTTCTTTTTGCTAATGGGCCTCAAATCTATTCTTGAAACTCCACCCCTGACTTATGCACGACCCACCAAGCTTAATTGGATTTATTTTCTTATTTTTATTAATTAATTGGATTTTTAATACAAATTAATTCATTTAATTAATTTAAATCATAAGAAAATACAAGATTTGATTTTTTTAAATCAATTTGTGAAGCAAATATGACCTAAACATGCTGGCAAATTCGTGCACAAGTCAAAGATACAAAAAAAAAATCCAATTTTGGCAAGTTTGTTCAATCATGAAAATCAAGGATATTTGATTTTTCAATCAAGGATTCAATCATCAATGCACATGGATTTTTGCCCAGCTTTTGACCTAATTCAATTGCCTTATATGTATGCAAGCAAACCCTAACCTAATGGACGATTGGAAGCTGCAGAAAAGACCCTGTCAAATTCAAGAAATTTCAAGAAAAGTGAAAACATGTTCTTGCAACCTAGGCTAATTCAAGGCGATTTATCCATCCCAATACATTGCAGGAGGTCCCAGGAGTGTTTTGCAATTGAACTCAGGCATCAAAGCTCAAGAAATCACTGAATACAGTTTCACAGTTTGCACCTTTTATTCAAAATCGTATTTCTTAATTCATGCGCATTTAACATGTTTTTATGATTGTTTTCAATTGCTAGAGACCATACAAAGCTAATGGAATGGTTGAATTGAACTATGGTCCCCTGAATCGTGAGATGCCATGATCAAATTTCTAGGGTTTTCAAGCTTTAAATTAGGCCTTTCTGAACCAGGAAAAATTGGGACCAGTGAGATACATGACTGAAATCGTGAGACCAAGATGCTTCCAACCCACACCTCGCGAAACATTTATATTCACTGTGCTTCTAATCGCTATTTTTCCTTGCAGGAAATAGTGGGGGTTAAAACCCCCCGCTATCTGATTATAATTAAGCAGAAAAAAGGTTGAAGACGATGAGGTGTTGACATTCCATTGGTTTATTTGAAAAGCGCGCGTTTACTTTTTTTTTATTTACAGCGTTTTAATTGTTTTCATATATAATAGTTTCATCTTATTATGATAACAAAGAAACGCGCTAGTTGAGTTGGCAAGCAGGTGGCCTGGAAGCATTGGGACCTGGGTTCGAATCCCAGGTCCCCCAAAACATTTATTCTATTTTTCTTCCTATATTCACATGCAGCTTGCAGAAGGGATGTCCACCATACGTCAAACATGCTGGAGAATTAGTGAGCCTGGAAGTTGCAAAACACACCTCCTCTTGGGTCCATCACCCCCCTGGGTTTATTCTTTTTTTTTCTTTCTTTCTTTTCTTCTTCTTTTATATTTTTCATTTAATTATTTTTTATAATTATTATTTTCACTAATAAATTAATATTTATTTTCATAATAAAATCAGAAAACTAAAATATAATATTTTATTATTATTATTTATTAAAATTAATTTCACCCTTTCATTACTTTTGTAAATAAATAAGTAATTAATTAATTTAGTTTTAATTAGGTTAATTCTAACTTTTTTTTGCAATAATTTAAAATCAATGTAGAATTAGGGTTTTTAATAACTTTTGACCATCTTTTATTTTTTTTAAAAACATAAAAAACTCAAAAAAATATCTTTCTTTTAATTAATTAATTAATTAGTCTAGGTTTAATTTAATTAAATTCAAAATAATAAAAAATCTCTTTCTTTCTCAAAAAAGGGTCAAAATCCTAAAAACTCTCTGATTCAATTTTTCTCTCACGCATACTATTTTTTATTCATATTTTTATTCGGTTATATAATTGTATTTTCTCCGAGGATGTAATAGCTTTAATTAGGACCTTTTATCGCTTTTATTTAATTTCCCGCAATTTACTTTTCAAGGGTTTGTTTTTGGCGATGTAAATACCCGACGCCTTGTAATAGCTTAGTTTTATTTTCCGCAACTATTAACTGCTAGATGTATGCTAACTAGGCTATGCATGACAAGATCTCTCTTAAAATAAAATCAATCGTAGCTCACCATAACATGTACAAAGATAACATAACTGAAACCTGACACACTCGCACATGTCACTCTTAGGGTACACCTCACTTGGTTGCCTCGACGTGGTCATTAAGTATAGGGTGTTTTAGAGGTCGCCCTCCTGTCTAAAGATCAAAAAGTTGCCTCGAAATGGTTGCCTCGGATAAAACGATCTAAGACATTAGGGTTGCCGTTAAGGCGTCCTACTATTGCTTTAGTGACCACATGTCCCTAAAATCGAATTGACCCGAAAACTCCAACGACGGTGCTACCTGCTTCTCAATAGTGGGATAGTACTGTCTAAAGGAAATTTATACAGCTTAATTTCTTTTGAGTAGGTAGAGGTTCTCAGGTACTTGCTCTTTCAAAACAAAATACTTTTCGCACTTACACTTTTCAAACAAAGTTTTCAAACAAGCACTTCATAC